GTTGACAGATTTCGAGGCGGAAGTGTCATGGTGTGGGGTGCTTTCTGTTGCAATGCATGTTCCAGGCTTCTTGTCATCCGTGGCAACCTCAAATCTGCTGCTTACCGCGACCAGGTACTGGCACCAGAACTTCTGCCTTTCATGGCAGCACATGGACCTGGTTTGATATTCCAACACGACATTGCCAGACCCCACACAGCAATTTTGACAAGGAATTTCCTTCAGAATGCGGGAGTCAACGTCATGGACTGGCCGTCAAGGTCTCCCGACCTCAATCCCACCGAAAACGTCTGGGATGCTCTGGCAGAAGTCTGCGCACTCTCCAGAACCAACCAGAGAATTTGCAAGATCTTGGCACCATTTTGCAGCAACAATGGCGTCGTCTTCCCAATCATGTGTTCACAAGCATCACAAGGTCCATGCGGAGGCGTTGTGTGGCAGTTGTCAACGCACATGGTGGCCATACACGCACATCAGATTCTCGTGCTTGGGACTTATGATTTAAACTGTTGATGTTATTACCGAATACCGTAGGTGCTTGGAACAAATTATGGTTACCACCGTTAATTAAGATCCTACTTTGGACATAAATGATTAAAAATTACCTTCTCTGATACATTTGTCCCTTGTATATAATATATGGGATTACTTTTAAAAATGTGAATTTTTTAATTTGACTCAGTATAGTTTACCCCAGCAGCTGCTTACTGCAAAACGCATGTAGGTGTTTGGGTCAGTCTCATCACCCTTCTTATGTAATGCGGTGATAACCGATGTTGCCAAGCTCTGTGGGAAGTGACCAATATTTAAGACATTATACAGTTCAACCAACTGCACTTTCAATATATAATATATTTTAACAGTTCATTCCTTATGTTATCTTAGCCTGGACGTTTTTTTGTTTTGAATTGCTTTATAAGAGTGAGAATTTCATAAGCTGTTTTAGTGTTGTAAATATTCCTGAAGTGGTTTGTTAGCTCCTCAGGATCAGCATAAATAAATAAAGTTTTTTTAATAGTTTCTCGTATTCTCTTTTAGCCAAAAGGCCCCTATTATTAACTGATTATTGTTTTATTGAACTCATAATATGCTTCCTCCATATTACGTTTTGCTTATTTACATTCAACATCATATCATTGGGGTTTTTTTACATTTGATTTATTTTTGCAAGGCTTTGTTGATAATTTGTTTACGGTTTGTAAAATATGAGAGAAGGCACCAACGAGTGCTTCACACACAACTACCTTGTGGGCTGGAGGTTAACATGACATTATTTATGACAGTTTGAATATTTAGGCTAGAAGTATCATGTTCAACATATATGTGACTGTTGGAATCCCTGCGTCTTCTACCCCTGTATTTAGTACAGGTTACATTTGTGACCCTATGAAAAAATATGCCAATTATATGAAGATATATATTTAAAACACTTAACGCAGAATAGAACTTATAAATGTTATGATTGTACTGTTAATAAAGATTTTAACTTTTCATATGTGTCATTCATATTGTGAACATATCCTAGAACTACCGATCTTTCTTCTCCTCTCTTCGTTTAAAAAGAGCAAACCCAACTCATTGAGCCTCTTACTCTGTGCTGACCATCTGCATAAATTTAAACCACGTGGTCTAATGGAGGCTGACAGGCATTGGTCCACATGGTCCTGCTGTGCAGTGTGGGAATGATATTACCTGATTTTGATGCTATCTCTACATTCTGCCAAGGAATATAGATATTTTCAGCTGTTTTATGTTTCGTTAGGTTTGTAGGTGAACGTTTGTCATCCCTTGATATTTCTTCATGTCCTTTAGTGTAATACTCATCACAATTTACGGTAGGATGGGATATTGACCCTGAGTGATTTACGTCGCTTATTTTGACCAAGGACTTGTAACTCTAAACCACAGAAGTCAAGTCGTCTTTTGTGTTTAATGGAAATACATTTTCACGAATGTACTGTATTCTAATGTAGGTCACAGAAACATGCATGGCTACTCGCATTCTACATATCTCCCATCACTTATCAAGTGAGGTCTCATCAAGCAACATTAAAAACAAAACTTGTTAGGAGACAATATTTATTTTCGCAAGTTGATATAGACAACAAAATGGATACGTATAGTTTGTCCGACGACACGTTCAGTCTGCCCTCTGCCTTCGACATCCCTGGATGTGCATTCATCAGGCCGAGGAGACTTGGTCTCTGTAGCACTGTTGACAAGACCATTGGCACGACTCTTCATCGGTCCGCTTGTTCTTTTGTATTCCCGCACACTTTCACTTCTGTGTCTAGTTGTTTTAGACACAATCTGCTCTTCAAAACCCGCCTCCTACAAGCGGGTTGCTGCCGATGACGACGGAGATTGGTTACTGTGATAGTCTGTCAAGCCAGCCTCCTTGCATAGTTTTGACATCGTCCCACGAAGTGCGTGTGTCCATCATCACAGCTGCTGTTGCATACCATACGGTTACCCTCGGTTTCTGCAATGGCCGCAGAAAGAATGCTCTGGCAGGCTTCTTGTCAGGGCTGAAACCAATACATCATAGGCTTTAGGTCTCATACATAATCTTACCTTTCATGTCATGCTAGGATGCAGTGTTATAGTTGCACAATTATCAATCACAATCAGACACGGTCACAAATATTGACGACCCGTGAAGATCCGGGGTAGAATAGGTCTTCAGCAACCCATGCTTGCCGCAAAAGGTGACTATGCTTGTCGAAAAAAGGCGACTAACGGGATCAAATGCGTGGATCGATGTTCATGATGTAAATCACTGGATTGTCTGGTCCAGACTCGATTATATACAGACCGCCGTCATATAGCTGGAATATTGCCGAGTGCGGCGTAAAACAACAAACCAAAACCACAAATATTGACAGGTTTTAATTTTCGGGTCAGTGTGATAGACGAGTAGAATTCGTAGTTTATACTTCGGTAGTATATTAGCTGTGATACCTTGAATGCGACTCTTGCGAGTGAGAGCAATGTACATCTTGTAATTCTTTAGTAGGCATCTTTCTTTATTGCTTGAATTACGAAAAGCAAACACAATCTTCTGTTTAATTTTCCTTCTTACCAGGCCACTTTTATTTTGAAACGTCCTCGTTGTAGCGAAGAGCTGTGACATTTAATTTCGAATTTTCCCAACTTTGCCAGATCTAAATGCCAAGTTAATTCCAGTAAGTAAACCAAAGTGTCAAAGAAGCTTCCTGGGGAATTCCCTCCAAGAACGCCTTTACACCACAGGAGATCCACTTCTTCACAAGTCATAACCTGGACTTAACGTTTAGTTGTCCCAATGCCGGCTACAGGGCATTCCTTCATTTAATGGTCCAATGTGTTCCTAATTTAGACAAGTATATCATCAGAAAGCAGTTTCGCGGAGTTTCCGTTCTGTTCCAGATACAACTGAAACCCAATCACAAGGTCATGGAGGGTTTGTGCACGATGTTCCTCTCCATTAGCTTTCCTCACTTCACACAGAAAGCGTGACATTTAAACGTTCAATTCACCGTCAGTCATCTCGTCAATTTGTGGTTCAATTAAGTTTATGGTCCAGAACACTTAATCTATTTCTTTCTATCTTCCATTCCTTGAAAACGTTAGTTGCCCATTTAATTTTCCTCAAAGTATTATCTGAAAGACTGAGAAAGAATATAAAGTCAAAACAAAAGCAATCATTTCGCGATTCAGGATAATAGTTGTCATAACCAATTGCATTACAATGAAATGCTTGAACAAAGATATATCAGCTACGATGTACACAAAGCAGAAATACTGACTTAATAACCGCATACTTTCGATAGTAGTAATCAATATTTAAAAAAAAGAGGGTTTTTTGTTTTTTTAATGTTGCTTAACGCCGCACTCGGCAATATAACAGCTATATGACGGTGGTCTGTAAATAATCGAGTCTGGAGCATCGATCCACGCAATTGGGATACGATAATAAGCACCAACCAAATCAGCAACCTGACCACCCAAATCCGTCAGTCGCCTTTTACGTCAAGCATAGTCGCCTTTTACGACAAGCATGGGTTGATTAAGACCTATTCTAACCCGGATCTTCACGGGTTCACCCGATAGCCATCTGGGTCATATGCGGATAGAGTGTTTACAAACAAACATGGCGTCACCCTTGTCAATCGGCGATCGAGTCAGAATTAACCATCGGGAATCTGGAGAAACTACCAGCATCATTATCAAAAGAATACTATAATATAATGTAAATCAGTGTCTAAGTGTGACGCAGCTTAGGCATTTTACAAGTTTTGGCAACTTTGGAGATATAAATTGCGAATAAAATCAGCGAGGACACTAACATGACGTATGTTTACATTATTTTCCTTAGAAGGCTGGACAACGCTTACATGACTTTTTATCACATGTGTTCACATTATTCACATCGGGATCCGTTTCCATATTGCTGTGCTAGTAGCTGTAGATCTAGGCATCTGCGGATTTGAACCTTTTGCCCGGATTAAGTTTGGTTTGGCCGAAATATGTCCGATTTGTTACCTTGCTCGTTTTGTCGCTGTGTGTTCTCCACTTCGTAACCTTATAACAGTACAGGTAGACTGTCAACAAACGTGACCTGTCATAGACTGACTAGCTTCCCTTTGAACAATATTGACTGTTGTCAGTGTGACTGACACATCACTTAAATTCTGATGTTATATATTAATGCGCACATTTCAATGTTTAGGTAATGTTTGTGAGCGATGGGAAGAGATCTTTCGAGCACAGAGTTGAAGAATGACATCATATGATAAAGAGGTTATCCCGCTTGTGTGTTTGGAGATGGTAAGTATCCTGTATTAGGTATAAACACTATGTATTTAGCTCGCTAAGACTCGCTAAAAACGAATTCACTTCCATTAGACGGGACATTTACCATTTCTAAACACACTCGCGTGATATACTCTCTGTCTTTGTCAATTAATCATCCCTATATTTTTTATTCTATTTCAGATGGCGACGATTAATTTGTATCTAGTAGGACTCAATTGTTCATTATACGTCACTGTGGAGTGGGAATACAAGGCTTTCAACAAACTGACGAACCACGACGCAACATTTACTGATTGTGTGGCAACTCCTACCAAGGTTGTAGAGCTGTGAACCGCAAATACACACCGCACCCTGTCCGCTGAATGCCGTTTTCTTCTTTTTCACATTCACCGCCAATGAAGGACCAGAATGCGTTTTACGCAGTTTTGAAAGCGACTTTCAGCTGACAATAATTACATTCGCACAACATACGCTTGCCTGAACACGAGAGAGAATGATTTCACTACTGATTATCAGTTCAAAACAAATGACGAGTGAATCAGGAAATGGATATGTCAGGCAGATCGTTGCAAACACAAACGTCCTCGACAGAATGTTTTCCTCTTTCAGTCGTGCATAACAAACCCAGCCCTGGCAGAGTGACACTGTGGGTGTAGGTTATCTGTTGTGTGTTGGGGTGAGGAATGTGCAGAAGGACTAACAGCATACACGATGAAGATTGTTGTGTGGGTAGTCGCTCTTATCTTCGCAGGAACTGCATGCTTTGTGTGTGCGAGATGTTACGAAGATCTTTGTAACGAGAAGAGGTGCCAGATTTGTGAGGAGATCAAGCGGCATTGTAATACTGAGTCCACGTCTACAAAATGTGACGGGTTTTGTAAAGGTAATCTTTTTGATTCTCATACTTAGTAAAATTGAAATTAAACAAAAAGCTTTTGACAGCTGGACGTGATATATATTTTGTTATGGATCGTCGACGAGAGAAAATAGATTATAGATTAAATGGTTTTCATTGTTGTGGCTTATAAAGGTATTATAATGGTGGATATTTTGTTTGATGTTTAAAGTTGCATTATTCAAGCTTTATGATGGGGCATGTGCTAAGTTATGCTGGACCCGAAAATCCAGTCATTGATAGAGAGCCACGTCAACCAGTATGGGGTGTCGTCACACTGATCCCCTCGTACGGAGGCGACTTGTTATTGAGTGTAACAACAATGGTTCATTCGCACAACTGTGCAGGTCAACTAATTTCATTATGAGAGATGATTTGAGACAGGCGGCACAATACTTGTTTGTTTGTTGTTTAACCCCGCATTCAGCATTATTCAAGCTATATGACGGGAGTCTGTAAATAATCGAGTCTGGGCCAGACAATCCAGTGATTGATATCATGAGCATCGATCCACGCAATTGGGATACGATGACATGCATCAACCAAGTCAGCGAGCCTGACCACCCGATCGCCTCTTACGACAAGCAGGGGTTGCTGAAGACCTATTCTACCCCGGGATAGGGTCAGGTACGATACTACAACAATAACGCCCGGCAAAATGGGAACCCGCCCGTCTGTGTACGATGACATGCAATCAACCAAGATACCCAGCCAGACCACACGACGGTTTGTCTGAACTAGGAACGATTACTTATAGGCATTTGTGATTAGATTTCATACTGCAAACCGTTTGCATTGAACAAAATTCAATAACTCACTCCTATTAATTCTATACTTTCTTCGTTTCAGATCTGGAGGTGATTGACTACAATACACAGAACCACGACAATTTTATGAAATTATGGATGACTGGCAAAACAAGAATGTGGAAAGTACAAAGTGATCTTGCTAAAACACGACGCAATTTAGAGACAGTCAGCCAGTCTCTGCACGACACCAGGGAGACCATACGAAACCTTATAAATGAAAATAATTATTTGAGAAATATTATCTCAGATCCAAAGGAGATGCTTTTTGTTGACGATAATGCCCCAAACCAGAACGGACATAGTGACTGTATTGTACAAGAGGACTCTCTGAGCCGATGCTTGACACAACTGGAGGAACAGTCAAGCCAAACTGATAGGTTCATCGGTTATTTAAAAGGTAAGATAGAGAGATTATAAGCACATTGTGTTTCAGTTTCGTAAAATATCACATATCAGAAATAAAAAAAACATGTATGATGCGAGCCTAATTTCGTAAAATATAATAAATAAATCTTCTAATTGAGGACTGACTATGTATTTTTCCCGGTTTGTTGAGGTATGAATCGAAACACTGACGTGTAAACAATCGGATTCTGACAAAAGTTTGCACATTATTGTACATCAATGAACCGGGAAAAATACAAAGTTAGTCCTAATTAAATTCGACATTGATAACATCTGTTATGTGCAAGTGATTAATGAAAAACTGTTTATATTAATCAAACAGACAAAATTGACGAGATTTAAGGTGTACATGTAGGTAGTCATACTGGGGCGTGACATGAATCAGGAGAATTCAGATGTCGAGTCCCATCAAAAAAAAAAAGTTTATTTTACCATGCGTGTCCTGACAAAGTTTATATTTTGATGACTTTCATGATGCTATTTGTTTTACACATACATTTATACATGGAATATTAGTTAAAGAATCTAATATTTATAGAACTACATTTATTCAAATTATGAATATAATTAGTCATTGCTTATGAAGTCAGGAAATGTCTACCTTCTAACACATAAGAATGTTGAATTATCCTACAAAGTCACCAAAGAACGGGGCGAAACGTGTTTTCAATTTTGAAAACTTGAGTACGCTAATTTTTCATCTGCACTTAATTTCAGAGGCATCTGTATTGAAAAAACGAGCAAATTAATTAAAATAAAAACCAGCCTATTTTCAAAACTTCCTGTGAAGCGAAACACCTTGGGGAACTAGTTTAACTTGTTTAACCAAAATATGTTGTGCATTATGATCTTCCCATGATGAATTAAATACAGCTGTTGCACATGGATTATAGACAACACGTCAGCGTGCTATTACGAAAGGTAGGTTATCATAAGCTGTCGTGTTTAAGCAGCATGTCGAGTAAGGGCGTCAGCACGCAATGTCATGTCATATTACTATTGCAGCCTGAGCGCTAGGATTGCCACACCGAATTAAGATCGAGTTGCTTTGTGACACGGGCGTAATTTCAGACTAAGTTAACCTTAATCATAACCTTATCCTAATCCTAATCCTGTTTTGTGTAACGGGGCCTTGACTGTCGTTCATGTGCAATCATTCCAAGAAGAGCACGTATGATGTACTAACAAACCCCCCCACTAATCCCCATCCCACCCCACCCCACCCCACCCCCAACACACACACATCTCTGTTCCTACGAGCCTGGTTGTAAAGTTTGTGGGAGTCAAAGTTTCCTTTGTTGTCAACCAAAATATTGCAGAGCAGACTCTGTATTTCTTTAAAGTTTAATTAAAAGTTGCCTGTAAGCTTATGTAAACACAAATATATAAAAATCAAATGTCAACACATATGTAGTCTTTAAAGAAAAGAGGAGAAGACATGTTTTTTGGGATTCACCCCGAATCCAATAATGGGATGCCTATGATCATAGTTACTCTTAAGTTTGCATAATGTGTGTATGTTTATTGTGGTCTTGGCCGCCGATATAATTAATATTCCAGCTTAATCAAGGCGCCCTTGGTCGCGTATGGGCAACCAGTATATTTCTTGTCTGCGACGTTTGTTGATTTCCTGTTTCAGAAGCATACACACTTGGACTGGTACTACTGCTAGCATTGGCATGCCTAACCATATATCTGCTGTACGTGTTTAAGTCTTCACCCAGTCCGAACGCCCGATGTGTCACAACGTGTCAGTTTGATGGACCCACGGCTATGGTGCCAACAAAAAATACAGAAAAATGATCAGAAAGAATCTGATCTTCGAACCTTGTACGGTTCGATTTAATGTATGTGTAACGAAAAGAATAAATTATCCTGATCCTTGTGGACATACTTTTTATATATGTTTACTATTTATCATCGCTGTATAATATACTGAACCGCAAAAGAAACATCACCATGGGTAGATATATGAGAAACCTTATGTGTCAAAACACTGTAAACATACTTTGAGACATATTAAAAAGATAAAACTTTGCAAAACTGATCATGAAGGTTGAAGTTTCAAATATTCTTAAAGTGAAACACAACACTAGTCTCTGAGAAAATGGCTTCACAAGTCAGTATCTCGTGTGTCCGCCCAAAATGGCATCACAAGTCAGTATCTCGTGTGTCCGCCGCGTGCATTGGTGACTGCTGTGCAACGTCGATGCAGGGAATGGATGATGCGGTTGATGAAGGCCATATGCAGCTGGGCCCACATTCTGAGGAACGCCTGGCGCAGTTCAACTGCAATCGTCGGCCTTGGTCGGACCTCATTCAGCCGTCTTTGAATCTCGTCCCACAGGTGCTCAATGGGATTTAAATCGGGACTGAGGGCAGGCCTCTGCATGGTTCTGACGCCATTTTGCTGGAGGAAGTCTCTTGTTGCTCTCGCAGTGTGGGCACGGGCGTTATAATGCCAAATGACGTGCCAAATGAGGTATGACGTGTGGTCTTAAGACTTGATCAATGTACCGAGCTGCTGTGACATGTACACCATTGCCTCTCCCTGGACCTATGTTCTGGAAGACCACAAGGCCAACCCTCTGTGCAAGACCAATTCCACCCCACACCATGATGCTCGGACCACCCCACGAGTCTCTCTCAACAACACAAGCATCCGAATCACGTTCACCCAAGGCGTCGCCAGACTCTCTCTCTCTCTCTCTCTCTCTCTCTCTCTCTCTCTCTCTCTCTCTCTCTCTCTGCCATCTGCTGTTGAGATATAGTTACGGCTCACGTCTGAGAAAGATATTTTTTCTCCACTGCTGGTGGCGCCAATGCTGGTGCTGTGTTGCCCACTGTAGACGGTCCCGGCGATGACGTAATGTCAGAATGGGTCCTCGGTGTTGCCTGTGACAATGTAGGTGTCTGCTCGTCAATCGTCGACGCACGGTGTCCGCACCAATGTGTCGCCTGTGTGTCCCCATGGTCTTCGAGCAGTTTCCGCAGCAGTAACAAAGCGATCTTGAAAATGCTGTCGCACAATCTGACGATCCTGACGTCGGGTGGTGACCCTTGGTCTTCCACTACGTGGTCGGTCATCTCTAGTGTTGGTGGTCTGGTACCGTTGCTGAAGCCTGTATGTGGTCCTTACGTGGACTTGAAATGCATTGGCTCTTTGCCGGGCGGTTTGTCCAGCTTGCAATCGTCCAAGGGCTTGGTGTCGCTAATTTCTTGTCAATCTTAGCATGTGACAGCAATTCAATAACGAATGAATGTTATCCGATCTGGATGGATTTTTATAGGGCAAGAAATGGAGGAACGCATGTGCATTTCAATTTGCACGGAACTCACGTGCATCGGGTTTCCATGGCTGTTGTCGTGATTCGTTTGGGCGATCGGTTTTATTGTCATCGGCTTTGTGTTTTTATCATCAAATTTCATTTTTCCGGGGAAGGTAATGTTTAATTAAAGAAAATTTGACAAAAATTACTCAGATATTTAAATGACAACTTTTCATGCAATGTTACTTGGGGTGACGTTTCTTTTGCGGTTCAGTATATAATATGATATGATAACAACTACATGCGCTCGCAGCTTGGTGACGTCGTACGTTTCGAGAGGGAAGTATGGACAACGTTATTTTTGAGAGGGAAGTGTCGAGTGAGTTGTTCCCCGTAGATGTAGCTGGGGAAGGCAGATGAACGCAATGGCCGAATGATCGCTTCCAGAATTGGGAGATACGACGGGCATTCAATAAGTTTGCAACTTGAATTTAAGACCAAGTCGCAGAATATCTTTTGCACTTTTATTTTTCAATATAATCTCCATTCACCTCAATACACTTATTCCATTTGTCCTTCCAGCTTTTAATACCACTTTTATAGAAATCCGCAGATCAGCCCTCTAACCACGCCTCTGTGACAGCCTTAACGTCCTCGTCATCCTGGGGGCGTCTTCCCCGTAGGGCAGATTTCATTAGCCGGAATAGGAAATAGTCACTGGAAGCTAAGTCTGGGCTGTACAGTTAAATCACCCATCCTACAGCCCAGACGTAGTTCCCTACGTGGAAGACGCTTCCAGGATGACGAGGACATAAAGGCTGCCACAGTGGCGTGGTTAGAGGGCCAATCTGCGGATTTCTATAGAAGTGGTATTAAAAGGACAAATGGAATAAGTGTATTGAGGTGAACGGAGATTATATTGAAATTAAAAGTGCAAAGGATATTCTGCGACTTGGTCTTATATTGAAGTTGCAAAACTCATTGAACGCCCCTCGTATATGGGAGAAAAAATTCAGATAATCATCGTGAAAATTGTGAGAAGATACGGGACTTGTCCGACATTGCCGACCGAGGCCGGATTGCGTTCAGGGAGACATCATTATTTAATTACGGGTAAATATTTATAAATCTGATTCATTTCATTAACATCCTTAAAGGGGCTGTACAAAATGTTTGTATCTCATATAAAAAATAAACGACTCGTGGTACAGCAACAATGTTTATGCTAATCACATGAAGAGAACACAGGATGTTTATTTGGTAACGGAGGTCCTTATGACCAAGAGTACAAATGTTGCATACAAGTTTAAGTTTGAGCTTAGTCAAGCGGAACAAGTACATGCAAGACCACACAGCGTGGAAATATTCGGGCAGGTGTCTCATTGTTTGTCTGTTTGTTTGTTGTGTAATGCCTCACGCAGTAATGTACCAGCTATATAACAGCGGTCTCTACATAAAATCGAACCTAGAGGATCTTTAAGTACAAAGCTAGACCCTTAATGTATTGTGAAATGCATTTTATGTGTTCATATGGGCTCAAAAGGCGTTTCCTGTTTTTTGTATGATATGGACCAAGTAACAGGATGTGGTATTCTGGGCTCGAAATATCCACTTGTCCGCTCGTATTGACGAGTGGAAGCATGTGCTGGGCGAGAATTAATTGAAGAAACGCTCGTCCAGCCGGATGAGTACATACACTTCAATTGTATCAATTCATCTCCAATCATTTTCAATAAAATATGCAAGATAATTTCGAACCTTAAAATACATTTTCCTCTCTCGCACGATCTCCGTACAGTGATCCCTCGGTCTCGCTACAACGCTACCTTTGGGATCTAAATAATTTATGAGCGTTATAGACGATCAGCGGTTTAACCGAGGTGGAGTCGTAGGGGGTAAATGACCAACACAGCAGTACATGCTCTGTTACAACCCTTAATATAACAAGAGTCATCAGAAAGATGACATATCCCCCCCCCCCCCCCCCCCCCAATTCTGTATGTAATGAGTCAAGAGTTGAATGTTCTTGAAGAAGCATACACTGTTTACTCACAAAAGATCGACCATGGTCGCATCCATATGAAATGGAAAGTAAAACATGTGTGTTTCTGTGGGTTTTTTTTAATGCAAACAAATGACAAATTACAAGAAACAATAAGTAAACAAGCGTATAGTCAACGAAGTCATCTATATCCCCCGCCCATTTTAACACGTTATGGTCCCAAACCAGGTAACTGATCCAACATTTCTCTTACGAACACCACCCTTATAGAACCTAAGTCAAACTTGTTACCATGGAAACATAAAAAAATAAAAATTTATAATATTCCTAAATAGCAAAAGGCACCAGTTCAGCATGAGTCTGATAGACATGCAAAGTTTTGTTAGAAAGTTTTGAATGGGTTTTGAGTTATGCTCCGGAAACGAACTCTACCCTATAGAACATAAGTCCAACTGGTTGCCATGGAAACGTAAAAAATAAAATAAATAAAAATTCCTAAATAGCAAAAGGCACCAGTTCAGTATGTGCCTGGTAGACATGCCAAGTTTTGTAAGAAAGTATTTAACGGTTTTTGAGTTACGCTCCGGAAATGAACACCACCCTTATGGTACCTAAGTCCAACTGGTTGCCATGGAAACGTAAAAAATAAAAGTTTCTTAAATTCCTAAATAGCAAAAGGCACAACTTCACCACTTATGTGATATAAATGCAAAGTTTGATGAAGAAATATTTAACGGCTTTCGAGTTCTGCTCCGGAAACCATTCAGACAGACGGACGGACGGACGGACATGCCCATAGCTATATCCCCCCGCATTATATGCCGGGGGGATAAAAATATATGACTTAGGCTTTGACCTAAGGGCTAAAGTTACAGACTGTGAGAAACTTTCATTCTTATTATTTCTAGCAGTCAAAACTTAATACTAACTCTTGTAAATTTCAGTTAGGACCAGAGTGTTCGTGTTTAACCCAGAGTGTTTAACCCTGTTCAGATATGTATTTATTCTTAATCGTACAAAACAGCTTTACAAAAATATAATTCCAATACATTAGAGTTCCTAAATATCTGACAAATACAGATGGATAAACATACAGATGAACTTGAATTTAATTTCTTTATATATTTGTAACATTATAGATATAATGCATCCAACGCTATGATAATGACACACAGCATCATGTGGTGGCTAACAAATGGACCAGAATGACATTTTCATTTTTCAATGTGCCTGCTGTGAGGCCATGTTATAAAAACATATGAATTCTGCCTGGTCTTTTAAAAGGTCTGATTGCTGCATCTTCCCAAGGCAAGGGGGTTAACTTATTATTAAAATCCAGTTTCCACCCTTGCCAAACTGGGCTGGAATTGTGGAGTCATATTTTGGCTGGACTAATGAGTCAAGGCAGAGACCAATCAAAATCGCGTAACGAAATCGACACCCGATTCGTAAAACTGTTGTACATATCTCTGTCGATTGCAGGATTTGCAAAGCATGTGTACCGCCAACTCGGCGTCAACATATATATTTTGCAAATCTTTCATCTTTTTAATCAAGGTGGTCACATGATTTAATGCCCTTCGCGAAGTAAGAACCGTTTTATCACAATATCG